AAACTGCGCAGAGAAAAAAACAATATAAATATCAGCGTAGACTCCCCACCGATCTTTCCTCCAGGACTCACTTCCAAAATATTCCAGAGAGTGATGTAGCCTAATGAGCAGGAATGATCTCCACAGATAATAGCCCAAAAAGAGGAAACCTCTATTGCGCGTACATCTAGCAAATGTAAAAACAGCATATCACCAAACCAGGTAAGATGTTTCCAACCCACAAGATGGCCCCCACATCCTGGTGCGCAATGATGTCATGCGCCGTAGCTCCACCCAACGTGTTTCTTCACCAGTGACGTAGTCAGCTATTATCTGCGGAGATCATTCCTGCTCATTAGGCTACATCACTCTGGAATATTTCAGAACCCAGTCCTGGAGGAAAGATCGGTGGGGAGTCCTTTACTGATGTTTATATTGGTTTTTATCTGCACAGTTTGACCGTCCCTTTTCAAGGGGGTCAATATGTTCTGGTAAGAGGCTGTGTATTTGGGTTGGTGAAGGCTCTTCCTCCTTAAACATCCATACCTACAGTGCAACCTATTGAGGCTTTACAGGTGGACTTTATCACACTTTTTCCAACTGAAGTGCACCATTTGTTTATGGCTGGGACTGTTCATTATATCCTACATTAAATTGTTATGGTTTGTTAGCATTGCACCTCTTTCATTATATTTTATATTTGATAGTTGCATGTTGAATTATTTTCTTGAAGGTGGCATCCACTCAAAACTGATGATCCACATTTGGGGGAATTTTGGTGGCTGGGACCACATAGCGGCTTGGTACAGTTCCTAGGAGTCCCAGCAATGGGATATCTCCTGTGAAAGACTTGGCCTGCAACTGCCATGGTAGTCAATGGACACCTTATCAGAGAGAAGCTTATCTTCCTCATTTGATCAAAAGAAGAATCAGGTGGCAGTGAGCATTGGGTGAGGCTTTAGACATCACAGTAAAGTTCTGATCACCAGACTCTCCAGCCAGTGGTTCCTTCAACCCCTCAATGCCCAACCATTCCTGTATTGGGAAAGCATAATTTTGAGTGACCTGACCAAAATTATATTGAATATATACAGTATAATGTATTATTAGTCATGTTTTTCTTTCATGGGCACTCCTTTTTCTTTTTATAGTTGGTACGAAAAAAAGAGGGGTAAATTTTGAACCCATCATTCCTGCTGACAAAAAGGTCCCCTCAACCTAGTCTGATCCAGACAATTTACAAATCCACAAGTCGTACTTCAGGTCTGAAAGTTCTGACACAGTTTTGTTACCGAACATTTTCAGTGTGAAAGAAATGGCTAGATCTAGCTTAGTGCATACTCTAGGGGTATTGGTTAGGTTGTGAATTAGAGGCTGGGGTTAGGATTCAGGATGTGAGTTAAAGAATAGTTTAGGAGTTAAGTTGAGTCAGGGCTAGGTTTAGGAGTTAGGTTGAATTAACACCTACGGTTACTAGTTAGATTGTAAGTTAGAAACTAGGACTTGGAGTTAGGTTTTGGGTTAGAGACTAAGGTTAGGAGTTAGTCTGTAGAGACTAGATTTAGAAGTAGGTTTATGAGTTAGAGGCTAGGGTTGGGATATGGCTTTGTACAAGGTTAGGGTTTGGAATTAGACTGAGTTCAGGGCTAGATTTAGAAGCTCAGTTAGGGCCTAAGGCTAGGAGTTGGGCTGTAAGTCAGAAGCTAGATTTTGGAGTTAGGTCATAGGTTAGAGACTAAGGTTGGGAGTTAGTCTGTAGAGACTAGATTTAGAAGTAGGTTTATGAGTTAGAGGCTAGGGTTGGGAGTTAGGCTTCATACAAGGTTAGGGTTTGGAATTAGACTGAGTTCAGGGCTATATTTAGAAGCCGAGTTAGGGCCTAAGACTAGAAGTTGGGCTGTAAGTTAGAAGCTAGATTTTGGAGTTAGGTCATAGGTTAGAGACTAGGGTTGAGAGTTAGTTTATGAATTGGGAATTAGTTTTAAAAGTAGGTTTTTGAGTTAGAGGCTAGGGTTAGGGGTTGGGTTTGGAGTTTGATTAAATTCAAGGTTAAGTTTAGGAATTAGGTTATGTTAAGGGCTAAGGCTAGGAGTTAGGTTTTAAGTTAGAAGCCAGGAGTTTGGAGCTAGCCTTTGGGTTGAAGACAAGGGTTAGGAGTTAATCTGTAGAGACTAGATTTAGAAGTAAGTTTATGGCTTTAGGCTAGGGTTTGGAGATAGGTTGCATACAAGGTTAGAGTTTGGAAGTTAGGGTTTGGAGTCAGATTGAGTTAAGGTTAGGAGTTAGGTTATGAGTTAGAAGCTAGGGTTTGGAGTTAGGTTGTAGGTTAGAGAATAGGTCTGTTCATTGGAGATTAGCTTTAAAAGTAAGTTTGTGAGTTACAGGCTAGGGTTTGGAGTTGGGTTCAGTACAAGGCTAGGGTTTGGAGTTGGGTTCAGTACTAGGCTAGGGTTTGGAGTTGGGTTCAGTACAAGGCTAGGGTTTGGAGTTGGGTGCAGTACAAGGCTAGGGTTTGGAGTTAGATTGAATTTAGGGCTAGGTTTAGAATTTAGGTTAGGGGCTAAGGCTGGGAGTTAGGTTGTATGTTAGAAACCAGGGTTTTGAGTTAGGTTGTAAGTTAGAAGCTAGGGTTTGGAGTTAGGTTGTAGGTTGGAGACTAGGGTTAGGCGTTAGTCTGTGAATTGGAGATCTGGTTTAAAAGTAAGTTTGTGAGTTATAGGCTCAAGTTAGGACTTGCGTTGTGACTAGGAGTAATAGTTGGCTTGTGAGTTGGAGTCTGGAGTTGAAGTTAGTTTGAACTAGAGGCTAGGGTAGGACTTTGCTTGTGAATAACAGGCAATGGTTGGGTTATGAGTTGGAGGCTAGGAAAGGGGTTTAGGTTGTGTGTTAAAGGCTACAGTTAGGAATTTTGTTCTGAGTTAGAAGCTAGGGATGGGACGTATGTGATACAGAGGTCGAAAACATATATTCAGGAGGGTAAACTTCACCTGGATCTCAGCCAAGGATATACCACACCATAACATCTCTACAGAATTTTGTTTATTTCTGATCATAAAACACCAAAGTGATTTTGTTATTTTGGTTGACTAAAGGGGTCAAGTTCCTACACCACTAGCAAGCCTCATCCACAAGGTGCTGACCCTACCTTGTGGGGTTGGCACCTTGGTATGGCTTTTGTGGCCAGCAAGTACAGAGTATTTGTTAACAAATGCCCTTAAGTACCCTATGGACATCAACAGATGACACTTGTCAGGGAAGGTGGCCCTTCAAAAACATTTTTGAAGCTATATCAAGATGTTCCTAATGGCCTCATGGTGGGCCAATTATGATGACTGACGGTGGGAACTGAAGGCAGTTGCTTTGGGCATCACCTATCATTTTGTAAGTCCACAGGCTAAATTTTATCAATGTTCTTCACAATTTTAAATGTATATAAATATATAAAAATTTGATAATGTTTTTATTTTTAATCTTTTATACTGTTTTTGATCACAAAGAACTCAAGAATGGAAGGAGGGGATAAAATGTATTTGGCTTAGGGGATAAAATGTATCTTACACACAACCTTCCCCCATGGGCCAAGCTACAGGGTAGCCATTGCTACCTATACACAATCCTGCATCGTTACTCCTAATTAAAGTTAACCCCTATAAACAGTGTGACCTGGGGGCACAGTTGTATCAACAATCGAAATTTTTATTTAGAAACTTGAGCCTTCCTTTAAGACATTTCTTTGTTAGCCACTGGTTCCTGTAAATGCTAAATTGCTTAGGATTTTAGGTTTAAAATATTTTTATTAAATTAAAGATTCCTTCTTGTTTAGATTTTTTTTGTATATTTTTGCAAGCATCTTTTACTACATGCTACAACAGATAGAAACTTGAGCCTTCCTTTAAGACATTTCTTTGTTAGCCACTGGTTCCTGTAAATGCTAAATTGCTTAGGATTTTAGGTTTAAAATATTTTTATTAAATTAAAGATTCCTTCTTGTTTAGATTTTTTTTGTATATTTTTGCAAGCATCTTTTACTACATGCTACAACAGATACAAGACATGCAACAGAGTAAAGTGTAAAGTGGTGGTACAGCCTGATGTAAAAACATTTTAGCCAACTTGGCTCACCCAAGTGTGATATATCAGGTTTGTGTGGATACTGGCACAAGGGTGTCACTTGCTTAGTTCCTCCAACTCCTAGGAACTCGTGGTGAGGTCTCTGTGCCTTAATTACCAACTCTTTCTTTTCCCTTGGATTTTGTAATTTATGGTACATAGGATAATGCATTATGAGGACAAGTCTCTTGTTTGGTTCTGTACTGGTTGAGGGGCAGAGCCAGCTGTGCACTCATAAGGTAATATCTTGCAGATATAAATCTCATGTCCAATCAGTTTCGCACAAAAAACCCCCCAAAAAATAAATTGTGGAGTGGACTCAAACCACTATTACGTTCTTTGAATATATTTTATTTAAAAAACATGTTATATGTGGGTCTCATCTATAAATAGTGATGAAACGTGTGTTCTCAATCAGATTCCAGCTGACGTTGTTCTAAAATCACGGGCAACTGACTGCTTGACATGGCAACAAAGCAACTTTCACTCCTCTCCATTTTTTCAAAAAGTATAAATCTATTCATTTTGCGTCAACTTCTTGTGTCAGCAAGATTGCAAGGAGAACCAGATGTTTTGGTACTGAAGATCTTCATTAGTGGTCCAAAGATGTGCTTGAGATCTTTGTGGGTGGTTCCAAAGTGTGCTTAAAATCCTCATGGCTGACTCCAAGGTGTTTCAACTGATAGATTCAGTCTTTCTGGTGTGATCTGGGTCTTCGTCTAGGTCTCCTATCGATCGAATGGCTTCTGGTAGAGCTCCAGTAAGTGCCCATATAAAAGGTCCAAGTTTCTTAATCTGGCTCAGTTTCAAAGACCAACAGTTGTCCTCCAAGCTTTCTTGGAAAGGGGAGCACCCACCTTAACGCTGCTTGGGTCGGTTGAGTCAAAAGTGCATTTACAGGTCCCCACCACCTACTGTGGATTTCTGGAAAAGCAATGTAACAACTTCAATGGTGTATGAAGCTTTTGGTGGGTCACCAGAGTGGACTTCTGAGTAAACCGTCTTCCACACTCCCCACAGGTAAATGGTTTTTCCCCCCGGTGGATCCTCTGGTGGATAACTAACGTTGACTTCTGTGTGAAGCTCTTCCCGCACTCAACACACATAAAGGGCCGTTCTCCTGTATGGGTCCTCCGGTGGACAACTAGGTCTGACTTCTGTGTGAAACTTTTGCCGCACTCGTTGCAGGAATAAGGCCTCTCGCCTGTGTGAGTTCTTTGGTGAATGACGAGCACAGACTTTTGGATGAACCCTTTGCCACAGTCGGAACATGTAAAAGTTGTCTTGGCCCTGTGGATCCTCCGATGGACAGCAAGATCGGACTTCTGCTGGAAACATTTCCCACAGTCCATGCATGTCAGTGGCTTGTCTTCTGCGTGCGTCTTCTTGTGGGCGATGAGTTCTGAATTCTGCGCATAGCCTTCCCCACACGCTGCACACACAAATGGCTTCCCTCCTGTGTGAACCCTCATGTGCTCCAGAAGAGTGGCTTTGCGTGTGAAACGTTTATGACACTCAGAGCAGGGAAATGGCTTTTCGCCCGTGTGAATTCTCTGATGCCGGATAAGGCTCGACTTCCTGGTGAAACATTTACTACACTGGTAGCATGGAAATAACCTGTCACCGCTGTATGCTGTGTCAGGGGTGGTAGCATCACCACTGTCGGAAAACCATTCTTCAGGGTTGGAGGGTTCCTCTGGAGAGTCTTCTGCAAGCTCATTGTCGTCCTCCTCCATGTCACAGTCTAGTGGTGAAACCAAAGAGACAGTCACATGGAGATAAAATGTCTACCTGTCATGTAGCTAGGGATCTGTGACATTGGTTAAGCTGGCTACAGTTGGCTGGATGACTCTCCAAGAATAAACTGTGGTGGGATATCCCTTTGTCCTTGAGCACTCCCCCACCTCAATGTTCTTTCTGACCCCCACATCAATGTTTTTCCTGGCTAGGTAGATTGGTGTAAACAGGTGCCCAATTTGATGACATTCTTCCAATCTGGCCATATTTAGCAAGATCAGATCTTAATCTAATGGTTATGGGACACCTTCAGACAGTCTGTTTTCAGGGATTAGAAAGATAAGCTGTCTTTGATTAAACAGAGTGAAGCCACACCTTCTGAACTGCTCTCCATTGCAGGATGGGTACAACATATAGCCTATAGTGCTGTTTATTTAGCCTTTTTGAGAAATGATGCATGGCCTAAGGTGGTAGACCTTAACAACATTGGTTTGTGTTTATGCAAGTTATTTGCTAATTTTTTTGATAGTGCCAAGGTCCTCGACACCCCAGCTCTTCTGCGATTTGACCTATTTCGAACACATTTTGGCCCACACACAAGTCTTAGTCCAATCTTAGTGACATTTGTCTGTAAATTTGGTCTCCAGTGTTGTTAAGGTTTTTTCAGCAAAGGCATGCCAATAGACAAGATGGCTCGTCTGGACGGACTTTTGTGCACAGGCTAATACACGTTCCCTCTCCTGCTTGCAGAAATTGGGTACATACTCATGCGCACGTGCATATGTGCGCACACATTGTTGCTCGTACCTGGTTTGCGCCAAATGGGCTATTTAAGCTGGGCTAGTGCTCAGGATCAGTTCTGCTTTGTCTTCAGCCTCCTGTGTATCCTGTGTTCCTTTGTCCTGATTCCAGTTGCTGGCCCAGATTGTCCTGACTACCCCCTGAACTCTGCTTGCACTGATCGCGGCTTGTCCACTGACCTCTGATTCTGTCTGTTCTATTGGTTTCTGCTTCAGTGATCGGCTTCCACACCCGCCTTGTACCTAGACCACGCTTACGCCTGTGCCCTGTACCTGGTCTGCCTGACTCTGCTACTTTGCCTGCTGCCACTGGTACCTGCCTACCACTCTGCTGTTCCTGCCATCTCAGCTGCCTGCTGTCGCCAGTACCAGTCTTCTTCCGTCTGTGCCCAGCTGCTTGCCAATCTGCCTGATTTACTGAAGACCCCTGACGACTTCACCTGCCCAGCGCGACACCTGCTCTGCTGATAACAAAGACTTACAGGCACTCGTGTGCCTTCTGTTTACTCTACCAGAGGCCCTGAGTCAGAGGTATAAGAGAAGCCTTTCTCATCATATCAGGCTCTGCTACCAGGTACGTGATAGGTTTAGTCATTTGTGGGTCTTCAAAATGCCCCTGACGACGTCACTCTATGATGAAACGTGCAGGGCAGGGCTTATGTCATGTGTGCCGTCATCACGCAGAAGTGCCATGGCCTGCTATTGTGGTCCCGATGTGATGTTTTTAGATATGAATATCAATTTCATACCTGTGTAAGTGCAAACTTTCTGTTTTTAATACATTTAAATTGGGATTACTACACTAGGAATTGTTTTTATGCCTTCAATGAGGAGCGCATTTAGTGTAATTATTTGAAGACGATGCATTTGGGAGACCGTGATGTATGAGTGTGGGAAGCCTTAGTGAGTACTGTTTCAAAGGCGTTGTTCAACCACTCAAATCCTTTGAGGGTCTATACCATCTGGTAAGCATTTTGGCTCATTCACTATTGGTGTCGTATGGAATATTCCATGTACAGTGATCATTTTGGGACTTTTCTCTACCTTTAAGTTTGGGGGGTTTTTCTTGCACTTTTTAATGGGACTATTTTGAATGGACATATTCTGAATCCTATTTGTATTTCACTGATTGGAATTAATGTTAATTTTATATATGGTTTATTTTGCATATTTCATTTATTTATTTCAGGTACTTATATAGCACCCTCAATTTACGCAGCGCTTTTACATATATATTGTACATTCACATCAGTCCCTATCACTCAAGGGGCATACAACCTAAGATCCCTAACTCACATTCATACATACACATACTGTACTAGGGCCAATTTAGACAGGATCCAATGAACCTACCAGCATGTCTTTGGAGTGTGGGAGGAAACCGGAGTACCCGGAGAAAACCCACGCAGGCACAGGGAGAACATGCAAACTCCAGGCAGGTGGTGCCGTGGTTGGGATTTGAACCAATGACCCCAGTACTGCCAGGCGGAAGTGCTAACCATTTAGCCACTGTGATGTCTGATATATGTTTAGTGCTGAATTTATTTCTGAAGTTAAGTTATGAAGTGTGTGCCTTTATGAAGCCTTTGTTGGCTGGCTATTAGGTGAGGCTATTCAACTGAACAAATGTGTTGTCAGTGATTTAAAAAACTACACCTTTGTCAGATTTCCTTTGGCAACAGATGGATACTTGTCTGCTCTGGCCATCTTTTGTCTTGCTAATAGCTGGGTTTGGGGTTGAGGACATTTGGATGACCAATCCCAATTTGCCTACTCAAATGTGTCCTGTCTAAATGTTACATTTGTAGACCAAACGTCTAAATCTCATAATGGTGCTTGCATTGGCTGATCGTCTCGACCATCAACATTTCTCAAGTAAGATTTTGTTGACTGAGTGGCACACAGCACTCCAGTATGGTAACCCATTCTGATCTACATACCTGGCACATTGGCAAAAGCCTAATAAAGTCTTATAATAAAGTTGATGGCTTCTGATTATAAACCTGATAAAGTCTAATAAAGTTGATGACTTCTGATTATAAACCTAATAAAGTTTAATAAAGTTGATGGCTTCTGATTATAAACTTAATAAAGTCTAATGAGGTTGATGGCTTCTGATTATAAACCTAATAAAGTCGATGGCTTCTGATTATAAACCTAATAAAAATCTAATAAAGTTGATGGCTTCTGATTATAAACCTGATAAAGTCGATGGCTTCTGATTATAAACCTAATAAAAATCTAATAAAGATGATGGCTTCTGATTATAAACCTAATAAAAATCTAATAAAGATGATGGCTTCTGATTATAAACCTAATAAAAATCTAATAAAGTCGATGGCTTCTGATTATAAACCTAATAAAGTCTAATAAAGTTGATGGCTTCTGATTATAGACCTAATAAAAATCTAATAAAGTTGATGGCTTCTGATTATAAACCTGATAAAGTCTAATGAGGTTGATGGCTTCTGATGATTATAAACCTAATAAAGTCTAATAAAGTTGATGGCTTCTGATTATAAACCTAATAAAGTTGATGGCTTCTGATTATAAACCTAATAAAGTCTAATAAAGTTGATGGTTTCTGATTATAAACCTAATAAAGTCTAATGAGGTTGATGGCTTTTGATTATAAACCTGAAAAAGTCTAATTCTCAAGGTCCTACCTTTTCCCAGAGGTTATGTTACTCCATGTGCTGGCATCCATCTTGGATTTATGCTGAGCATGGTGGGAGGCTTTTATGCCTTCAGGTCTCTGAGGTCCATCCCCCAGAGGGGTGTGGCTGAGTACATATAAGCCTGTGATCCGCACATGCTCTTTGCACTTGTGTCTTGTGTCTTTTGTCTTGCTACAGCTCTGTGTATATGCTCGTGACTCTTCTGGTATTTGACTCGGCTTGTGAAGACCATTCTCTGTGTTTTCCTTCGATCTGACCTTCCGTTGCTGAACCCGGCCCGTGACCTGTGATTCTCTGTCTACTGTTCTGTACTGTTTTGTCCCGTTGTTGTTGACCCAGCTTGCCTGACTACGCTATTGTCATTCTCACCAGCTACACGCCATTGGCGGCGGCCATTACCGCAGCCGGGGTGTCTCGGGGGCCGCGACCTGGTTCCTGGCTGCGTCAAGTCCATCCCCACCATCAGGGGCCCTGGTGAAGGGCAGCCTGGGACTTAGACTCCGCGCCCTGAGGGACTTCGGTCTGTTGGTGGTGGTTGTCGTTAGCCAGTGCGTTACCCTGCCACTAGGCCTACCTGTCCGTTCCAAAGCCCTGCCCTGACACTAATAAAGTTGATGGCTTCTGATTGAAAACCTAATAAACTCTAATAAAGCCCCTCATGTTCTGCATTGTATTGGTATTGTTCTGTCACATGTTCTGTCCCCCTTTGTAATGTACAGCGCTGAGCGAACTATTGGCGCTTTATGAATACTGTATAATAATAATAATAATAATAATAAGGTGATGGCTTTTGATTATAAACCTGATAAAGTCTAATAAAGTTGATGGCTTCTGATTATAAACCAAATAAAGTCTAATAAAGTTGATGGTTTCTGATTATAAACCTAATAAAGTCTAATAAAGTTGATGGATTCTGATTATAAACCTAATAAACTCTAATAAAGTAGATGGTTTCTGATTATGAACCTAATAAAGTCTAATAAAGTAAAGTCGATGGCTTCTGATTATAAACCTAATAAAGTCTAATGAGGTTGATGGCTTCTGATAATAAACTGATAAAGTATAATAAAGTTAATGGCTTCTGATTATAAATCTAATAAAGTCTAATAAAGTTGATGACTTCTGATTATAAACCTAATAAAGTCTAATGAGGTTGATGGCTTCTGATTATAAACCTAATAAAGTCTAATGAGGTTGATGGCTTCTGATTATAAACCTAATAAAGTCGATGGCTTCTGATTATAAACCTAATAAAGTCTAATAAAGTTGATGGTTTCTGATTATAAACCTATTAAAAAATCTAATAAAGTTGATGGCTTCTGATTATAAACCTACTAAAGTTGATGGCTCTGAAATAAGTTGATGGCTTCTGATTATAAACCTAATAAAGTCTAATGAGGTTGATGGCTTCTGATTATAAACCTAATAAAAAAATCTAATAAAGTTGATGACGTCTGATTATAAACCTAATAAAAAAATCTAATAAAGTCGATGGCTTCTGATTATAAACCTAATAAAGTCTAATAAAG